CATGGGAGAAAGATTGATGCATTGCATCGGTAGGAAGACAATTGGTTTCAGCCGGTTCTATTATTATCTGACCTGAAGGACCTATGCATGATCGGGTACAATCTAGTCAACCACGGGATGCTTAATGCATTCGTGGAAAGATGGCATTTTGAGACCTCTTCGTTTCATCTCCCGCATGGTGAGATGTCTATCGCACTGGACGATGTCTCGTGTTTGTTACATCTTCCGATCAGGACGAGTCCTGGATGCCATCATGACGGAGGCACAGGGGGCACTGTTGTATCAGAGACATCACCGGGGGACGGGGAAAATGATGGCCAAGGAGGCAGAGCAAGCAAAGGAGGTAAATGAGATGTTGTCAAGCACACATAGTGGTAGTATGTTATTATTTTGTTGTAGTATTATACTCTCTACTTTATTTTTACGGTTTTATTACATTTTGAATCTCGATTGTACGATATTTTCTACATATATTGCTATATCATTTTCGACACATCCATTATTGGTCTCTTATTATTTTGTATGTCTATTTTTTTCCGAGATTGTGCTTCATACTTCATCTGAAAACAAACACATAATTTATAGTAAAAAACACTTGTTATGAAACACTTTGGAGATGTATCTCCAAAATATTATACATAAGATAGAAAAGGAGATTTTATACAGAAATCGTAATGTACGCACATGTTCAATTTGGAGCAACCCACACTAGCCCATGCATGTTTTCAAATTTCGTTTAAAATTCTATTACAATGCAACAATAATTTATTTATAATATCAAATATAAATGGTATCTTCTTCCAAACAAGTTTTTTAACTTTACTCTTTACTATAGAAGTTTATTTAGAATCATACATGTACAACACACTAGTATTCTATGCCCAATCTACCTTATTTGCCAAAACCAAATTTTAGCACACATATTAACTGTATTTCATCCATGTAAGTGTCAGAGTGGTATTCTATCGACCCTCTAACAATGACATCGAAGCTTCGTTTATTGAACAACTCTTTGAAGAAGATCCTATGTTATTGGTATTATCTCTCCCTACATAAAACCCAGGTTCATTTGGTTTGGGGAGTAAGTGTTCACTCTTTAACATAAAAACCACAGATGACATGTTAGGCCTATTTTCTGGTTGCTGTTGTACACACAATAGACCCACATGAATAAATCTTGTTATTTCTGAACATATAGCCGCATCATATAATATATCAGCCATTAACTCATGTGGCCTTTCTTCTATCCATAGTCTCCATGCCTAAAATCACATCAAAGTTATAGCAAGGGTAAGCTCAATTTTCACAATGGATAAGGAAAACAGCTATATATAGTGTTCACAACTCACAAGATAGAGAAACATATACACTTCAAACTTACATGCCCAAGAAGGTTTAGACGATGTCCAGGGTCACCAAACCCCCTATTCATCTTACCGCTAATTATCTCAAGTACAACGACTCCAAAGCTAAAAACATCATATTTTATTGAGAAAGATCCGTGCACGGCATATTCAGGAGGCATATATCCACTGCAAGTAACAAATAGAAAATGTTTCACAAAATTAAAATAATGACAAAAACTATCTTTTCTATGTTTTAGGAATTCAAAATGACAAAAAAGTTTCATTGAAACTAAAACTGAAATCAATGTATACTATAAAGAATAAAGAGTTGTTTAAGCCTTAAACTGAAATAAATATAAGTTGAAATTACTATGTTCCCATCACTCTATTTGTATTAGCCTCAGCTTGGTCTCCAATAAATGATCTAGCTAAACCAAAATCTGATATCTTTGGAATCATATCAATATCGAGGAGAATATTGCTTGTCTTGAGATCTCTATGTATGATTCTTAGTGTAGAATCTTGATGGAGATACAACAGCCCTCGAGCAATACCATCAATAATTTGCAAGCGCTTGGTCCAATCTAGTAATTTACTTCGCGTAGTATCTAACAAATGACACGTTCTTAAGTTAGCATGAGAACTACATTACGGCGAGAGTAAAACTGAGAGCAATAAATTTGGTTCGTGTGAAAGTTCAAACCAAAAATAAAGTAATCCAAGCTTCTATTGGGCATGAATTCGTAGATCAACAACTTTTCATCTTGTTGAATAGAACAACCAAGAAGTTTTACAAGATTGCGGTGTTGAAGTGTTGCCATCAACTTTACTTCATTTTTGAACTCCTCGGCTCCTTGTCCTGATGTGTTAGAAAGCCTCTTAACAACAATCTCTTGGCCATCTATCATTATCCCCTGGTAATATTTATTGAAAATTTAGTACTTATAGTACTTGGAGAAATAAGAGGATAAATTAACTTAGTAACCAAGACATTACCTTGTAAACTGGTCCAAAACCACCTTCTCCTAACTTGTTTATGTTAGAGAAGTGATTTGTTGCATTAGCAATGGTTGAAAAATCAAATACTGTTGCCAAGTCACCATCTTCCTTTTCCTTCTTGTGAAAGAACATTTTTATGCATCCTGAAGTAACAATTCAAGGTTTAACATTGCTCGAGTACTATTTAAGAAAATCATAAATATTTGAAATTTACTCGTCATAACTTTTTCACCTGGCTTACCAAGCTTCTTTTTGTATGATGATGTGACCAATAAAATAACGGTTAGTCCTATAATGAATGCAATAACTCCTGCAAGAATCACAGAACGCTTCAAGTTCCTCCTATTCTTTTTATGATCTGGGGGTTGAAGTAAATTTCAATTAAAAAGCAGGTTATGAGCTTACAATAAAAAGGAAATGGCCCAAGTGCATACTTTTCACATTTTTTCAAATTTTAAACAGTGCTTGATATATCAAGCCAAATACCAAAACATTTATGTTATATATCTAACTGATAAGGCAAAAGATGTAAGAGGAATTGAAAATACCAAATTCTGAAGATGCGAGTCGTATGTAAATGTCTTGTCCTTGGTCTGGATGTATTCTCATGTCCACAATGTTGTCAAACCAAAGTAAGCAGCCACTACCACCATATCTGATATCCAAATTTGTATATGCAGTGCAAGAACAGTTTTTCAAGCACAAAGTCTTGCATTTCTCAAGGCTCATGCTCTTGTCAAACCACGGCGATGATGTATCTGGCAACTTCATATTTGAGTACTTCAAAAATCCATCTCCGTGGAGACAATTTAAATGTGTTTTCCTTATACACCCATCAGACCAAACGGACGACTCCCACTTTGGTTGATATTTTGGCATGAAACCTTCCAAGCATTTACATATTGGAAAGTCATTAATATTGCAGTTAGAGTTGATACCACACAAGGCATAATTATCACACTGGTCTGCAGGACGACTAACTATAACCTCCCAAATTTGTGACCCCTCTAACCACAGAAGACGCTGTGAATTTCCGTATGGATCTATCACAAATCTAGTAATAGTTGAACTGTTAATAGTTTCGTATTGATAAGAGAATTCTTTGTCTGTGAACACTACTGTGAAATTCAAGACTCTACGCATTCTTTGCCAAGGTGCACCAGTGAAAAGAAATCCATTCCATGACCCTCCTCTAGACAGAAATCTTGCTCCCTTTTCATTAACCAATTGAGGTAAACCATGTATATCTATCCTATATGAGCATTCACCTTCAGCAGGATCTTCAGGGCTTCTCCAAGATATGAGATATCTATATGGACCAGTAACTAAATTACTTTTCAGCTTCATTCCAGCAAGTAAAGTGTTACCGGGATAATCAAAACTCTCCCACAAGAAATCCTTATTCTCACTGCTGCTGTTCGCATCTTTCACAACAAGGTTTCCTGAATCCAACAACTTCACAACAACTGGTTTCACCGCAAATCTTGATAAATTGGAGGACCAGATTATGCCATTGGAACTATCAAAAATAACAAGAGTTCCCTGATCATTGAGTTTTAGCATTGCTGTTGAGTTTTTTACAGGGATGTTTCTATTGGCAACCCACACAATAGTCCTAGGTAAAATGCTCTTGTACCATATACCAAAGTATTGGCGTTGTGGATCTCCAAAATTGAAAAAGCCTGCTTCAAAGGTTCCAGCTGCAGACACAAGTGTATCACTATATTGTATAAACTGATTTGGAGCAATAGTAATAAAGGTATTCTGTTTAGAGAAAGTGGGCATAGAGCAAAAGAAGAAAGTACACACCATTAGCATTAGCACCTTGTTATGATTCTCCATTGTGTTTGTGTGGGTTTGTCATGATCATTTTCATTTTATCAAACACCAAACCCAATTGACGCGGCATAGTAATCCAAGTCTTCCCATGAGTATAAAGTCTACTCAGCTTAAATCTTGCTATGTTGACTGATTTGTTTTCAAGTGATGACTTACTCGCGTTCCGTCTAAGTCTAACTATTTATAATAGATAAGATTTTTAAAGAGTCTGAGTATGACATTTTAACTAACCGATTCAAGACGGAGCAACCCCTTAGTAAACTCACACACACAATCATGAGAGCCACAGGCACAGTTCAAACCCTAGTGTTATCAATTTATGGTGTTTATGTTAAAAGTTTAAAATTGGTTTTGATTTTGAAAACTTTAAAACATAAGCCACCTAGAGGCATAAGATTATCAATTTTCAAATTAATTGATAATTTTTCAAACATGATTGCAATTTTTCAAATTAACTGTAAAACTTACCCCACAATCCTTCGTTTTCAGTCACTCCAAACCCTAGCGTAAACCCCATGCCGTCGGAAAGAAACGGCACCTTGGCCGCCGAGATGAAAACATCCAAGCGGAAGAACGAAGCAACGAGTCCATTGGAAGGAAGCTATTCGAAATGGAGCCATTGTTCCTCCGCGATCCTGATTCCTACGGCAACTATGATTATTGTTTAGATTTATTTTTATTTTTCTCTTTTTCTTAGTGAATGAGTGTGAGAAATATTGAAGTGAAATAAGTTGTTGTACAGTTGTGGGATCAGGAGGCACGGTTCATCCAAATTCAACTTAATAGAAGAAATACTTTTACGTGGGTACTTCTAAAATGGGAAGTACATATGGTCTTACAAGTGAGTTTCTCTATACAACCATGATGAACCAGCATCGAGAGTCAATGAATATGCATAGAGAGACCTCCCGAGCCATTGCCTCCCTCAGGAACCTCATTTTTAACCCTCCACATTCCAACACCCGAGTTGTGGACGAAGAGATGGAAGAAGAGGATGATAGTGAAGAAGAAGAAGATGATGATGTGGATATGCCTGATGAGGATCTTTAGAGAATATGTTGCTGTTGACATCCTTTATTGCATTGTTTTCTAGTTTTTGATGTTTTATGCTTTCATTTATGTTTGAACTCTGTTTTTATTTGGCATTGTAACTCGTACAATATTCGCAGTATTGTTGTCTTTTAATTTTAGTATGCTTTGCTTCCATATTCTTGTGATTGCTTGCATTATTGGTCTATCTAGTTTTCTTTCTTGAAAGCTCTTTCCTTTTTCCTTATGACAAAGGGGGAGAAGAGCTTTGGCTTTCTTATGTCTATGTGTGCAGAATTTTTGCCTATGTATTCGATAGGGGGAGTTCATGGACATAGGGGGAGAAAACAAGATCACTGCTAATCATCGTCAAAAATTGCACAAGATCATTTTGGTTGTCATCATCAAAAAGGGGGAGACTGTAGAAGCAAGCTTCATCTCAAAGTTTTGATGACGTCAACATCAAGATCAAGAATAATTCATCTGTGCAAAAAGGCAAACGCTTTCAAAAGACCAAGATCAAGTGGAATGGAAGTGATCAACATTCAAAGCTTCATGAACATTTGACAAACATCTTTATCATTTGATCACATTGCATTAGCATACTTTTTAAACTATTAGAATTGGTATAACACTATTTTTATAAGCATTTTTATGAAAAATAGCAGTGTTAACCGATTAACCATATAGGTTAACCGGTTAACCATTTCAAATTTTGAATATTTTGGTATAACGTTCAAGTGTTAACCGATTAACCATATAGGTTAACCGATTAACACTGAACGTATTTTGAAAAATGGCTTTGTTTCAAGTTCAAAAATGGTTTGAAAATTATACCAGTTCATATTTTGAATTATACTCAAATATACCTTTTGGAAAAGGTGTGTTTACACATATAAATTCTGAGTTTTTCAAATTGAAAAATAAACCTCCAATAATCAATTTCAAAACAATTCTTTGAATCAAATTCACCATTTTTCAAATACTTTTCAAAATTTTCAAAAGTGTTCATATTGATCATATCTTTCATATGCATAGTATTGAACACTTGTGTTGAAATTAAATGAGTGAATTTTGATCAGAAGGAGAAGATCAATCTCAGCATTGACATTACCATTATTACTCTCAAATCAAAATATTCAGATTACTTGTTTTTGACTTGTGATCCAGGTTTGTTGGACACAAGGGTGAGTGTTTACAAGAGGATTGTTCTTGTACACTTGTTGATTTTTATTGTTTGATAGTAGGCCTCACCGGTTGATGGTGTGATAGGTTGTACTTTATTAAACAATAGTGAAAACTCTCTTTCGTGTTAAAAGGGGAGTGGAGTACTCTCGGATTGTGAGGGGAACCACTATAAATCTTGGTGTCCACTGTCCTTTTACTTTCTACTGCATTAATCACCAAGAACCTAACCAGTAAAATTTCAAGAATACCGAAAAACCGGAAAAAGTCCCTAAAAGCCTAATTCACCCCCCCCTCTTAGGCATACTCTGTACTTACAGTTTGACTGTATTTTCTATCCATTATGCAAGGATGAGTGTTTTTAAAGTAATATTTTACACGAAGGGCTTTTTTGTAAAAGACCTAATGCTAAAGTATGAGGGTGGGAAAGTTTATGCCTTTAATGGTCAAGATAGCGAGTCATGGTCATTTTTTGAGGCATGCGGTTTAATTAAGAGAATGGATCATGGATTTGAGTATAATAATGTTAAGATGTGGTGGAAACATGGTGATGGTACTTTAGAAAATGACCTAAAATTTTTTAGGGATGATAGTGATGCCTTTGAGTTAGTTGCACTCGTTCAAGCAAGTCACCAAGGTGAAGTTGAAATATACACTGAGCCTAAACCTAGTATAGGGAATGCAACCTTTATGGAGAATGCAAGAAAAAGAAACAAGGCTAAAATATGTGAAGATGAGGTTGATTCAAATACTGATGAGAGTTCTAGTGATGAAGGTGTGAAGGATGTCAAATTTGAAGATAATGAAGAAGAAAGGATGGAGGGTTTTGATGAGGTTCTTGATGAGCAGTTTGGTAGTCAACCTACAAACATACCTGCTGCAGATGTAGCAGGCTCTAGTGAGGCAGTGAAGCCAAGTCTTATTACACCAGAGATAGGAAAGGAACATGTAATTGAAGATGCGTATCTTACTGATGAGCTTGATACTGGTGTTGAAGATAATAGTGTTGATGATAGGCCAAGAGTTTTTAGGTCCAACGAGGAAGATGAGATTACAAAGGAATATAAATTCAAGGTTGGAATGGAGTTTTCATCATTGAGGCAATTCAAGAATACTATTTTGGAACATAATGTATTGAATGGTAGGAAAATCATATTTGTAAGAAATGATGCAGTGAGATGTATGGTGGTTTGCAAGGAAAAATCACAATGCAATTACACTATATTGTGTAGTAAAGTCCTAATATCAACAACCTTTAGAATCAAGACCTTGTATGATAAACATAAGTGTGGAAGACAATTTTTTAACAAGAGTGCCAAAGCTGACTGGGTTGCAAAAGTGATAGTTGATAGGATGAAGAACAATAACAAAATGAAGTTGAATGATGTAATTGTAGATGTTAGGGTGAGGTATGCAACTGAAATCCCTGGTTGTAGGGCATTTAAGGCAAGACAGATTGCGAAAAGGATAGTGGATGGAGACTATAGTAAACAATATAGTTTATTATGGTCATATAGGGTTGAATTAAGGAGGGCTTTCCAAGGAAACACATTCAAGATTAACATTCAATCTCTTGGTCCAGGTTTACTACCAAGGTTTGAAAGGTGTTACATGGCCTTTAATGGTACGAAGAAAGCTTTGAAATTAGCTTCTAGGCCATTTATTGGACTAGATGGATGTCGTCTGAAACACAAGTATGGTGGGATATTGTTAATAGTTGTGGGAAGAGACCCTAATGACCAGTATTTACCAATTTCCTTTGGAGTGGTAGAAATTGAGTCAAAGGACACTTGGAGTTGGTTTATGCAGTTACTCCTTGAAGACATTGGTGGAAAAGGTGTTGTTGTATATCTGACCAACAAAAGGCAAGTACACTTCTAATTCTAATTTGGTTTTTTAGATGTTTGTTACCTACATTGCTTGAACTGTTGTTTATACTGTTTGGTTTTTTCAGGGTCTTGTACAAGTGTTTGAGGAGCAATACCCAGCTTTTGAACATAGATTCTGTGTTAGACATCTGTATGCTAACTTTAAAAAGAGGTTTGGAGGTGGTACCCTATTTAGGGATCTAATGATGGCTACATGAAAGGAAACCTACCTCGAGGCTCGTGAACAATACATGCATAAGATCAAGGAAATCAGCAATGATGTATATGAATGGTTGGAATCAATTCCTAAAACAAAGTGGTGTAAGCATGCATTTCATCTGTATTCTAAGTGCGATGTGTTGATGAATAATTTAAGTGAATCTTTTAATGCCACTATCTTGCTTCAAATGGACAAATCAATTATAACAATGTTTGAATGGATTAGGTCTTACCTTATGGTTAGGTTTGTAACTTTAAGGGAAAAGGTTAATGGGTATAAGGGTAGGATCATGTCAAAACCACTAAAGAGATTGGATATAGAGATTGAAAAGAGTGCAAGTTGGACAACCACTTATGCTGGACAATTGACTTTCAAAGTTACCCATGTCATGTTTACTGATAGCTTTGTGATTGATTTGGCTAATCAAACATGTTCATGTAATTTTTGGGATCTCATTGGAATTCCATGTAGACATGTAGTTGCTGCAATCCATGGGAAAGTTAATGATCCCATTAATTATGTCCATAAGTGTTATCACAAGTCGACTTATGTAAAATGTTATGAGGAAGGTATCACTTCTTTGAATGGCCAAAATAAGTGGCCCATAACCAATGGTCCAGTCATTTACCCACCCATGTTCAAAAGAGGTCCAGGGAGACCAAAAAAACCTAGAAGAAGGGAACCTGATGAATCAAATGCTACCAAGTGGCAAAGAACTAATACTACTCATAGGTGTAAGACATGTTTGGAGTATGGTCATAACATTAGGACCTATAAGAAGAACAAACAGATTATTTTACACAAGAACCAAGATGTAAAAACAAATGAGGTACCTACACAGGCAAGTCAAACTGGAAATGTTCAAAAGGCAACATCAACTGGGTAATTGTATATTGTTTGTTGTTTATATGTTATAAGTAATTGTATACTGTTTTTCAGGGGAGACATAAGGGGTCATTGAATAAGAAAGTAAAAGTGGCACCAAGCAAGGCATCTAACACGACACCAAGCAAGGCATCTAACAAGTTACCAAGCTAGCCACCAAGTAAGGCATAAAGTCATCCACCAAGTAAGGCTAAGACTGCTCAACCTCAAGTCACAGACCAGATAAATGAGGCACCAAGTTAGGCTTCAGTCCAAGGTTCTCATGTTGCTCAACCACCAACAGATCCACATACTACACTACCACCAAATCCTTCGGGACGAGTGGGACCTCATTGTGATCTGCACGAACGGGGATGGGAAAGTGGTGGCTCCGTCCTTTTGTCAGAGGACGTCGCCCCCAATAGAGGTGGTTGCTCCGTCAATATCAATCTTACTGGCGAGGAGGAAAGCAGAGTTGCGAGCATCATGAATGTTATCACGGCTGGCCATGATCGGAATTTGGAAGAACTGTTTTGGTCTTGTATCTACCAAGGGAGAAAAGATGGAGATAACAGGTCTCCTACAGACGACACCACTGATTTTGACGGCTGATTAGAACCTGAAGTGGGCTAGAGACAATCGTATGTGATGTTGGGTGTGAAAGAGGAGAAGGGGGTGTACCTGTAAGGCACTTCGATGCTAAAGTAGGAATCGGGAGAAAGAATGCAAGTACATAATATGTGTATCAAGGTGAATATTGAATACCTTACCCTCTTAAATGAGAGGGTTTTTATAGTGCCCCCAGCGCTTGGCCATTGGTCCCTATTTTAAGGGAGAGATAATTATTTCTTGAAGAATAGATAACTGTCAGAACTAGCCGTTGG